TGTGAATCAGAGCACGAAGACGAAAAAAAGCAAAACAAGGAAAGGAAACGAAGTAAGGAAGGAAAGCCCCAGCTGTTCATCACCTCTTACGTACAAGGCCAGCCACGTGGATGACAGGTTGAGCACTGGCTGCCCCCATCCCCATGTGTCACAAGGACCCACTTGCACACAGCCAAAAGGCAAAGAGGTAAAGAAAAGGAGGAGGAAACCAGACCTCGCAGAGGCAAGAGAAAGAGAAAGGGATCCAATCAAAGAAAAGACAAGCGAAGAAAGCAAATGACACATCCCACGGATAAACCAATTGCCACTGTCACTACAAGGTTCAACATATTCTTTTTTTTTTCTTCCTTTTTTCTTGTGTTCTTTTTTTTTTCTTCAGAAATTTGTACTTTTTTTCTTTCTTTCTTTTTTATATACATGTATATGACATATATCAGGAGACTGAGCCCAGTACACAGCTACTATACTATACATGTATATATACATAATTAAAATATATTCCTGCAATCAGACTCGTTCTCAAACACACTTTTCATACATGTAAACAGCAACGCAGCAAACTGGCGACATGCGCCCACACAAAACTCAGAGATATGGCTTCCAGATACGAGTTCACTCTTGACTGGCTATGGCGACTTCAGCGCCCAACAACTCACTGTTTACACACGCCGGATCACCCTGGATATCCCATACACGTCACTCTGAACACTTGAACACACACACACACTTCCTACTTACTACAGCTATGGCAGCTATGGCTGCCTCTAACCTATTGCTATACTAACTCCTCCTCTCTCGCCCACTGCGTCCTCCGGGCTCATCCGCAGACCTCCTTGCACAAGTCGCTGTGGCTGCGCTTCCGYATGGCTCACGCAGGAATGAATGAATGGCTGGGCGCTGCCTCTTGAYTTATACTTCTGCAGGTCGYTGGTCTGGCCCATTTCCCTTGCCCGAAGTGCACACAGTCCCGTGCGGTACCTGCTGGACTGACTGGGGACTGGGACTGTTGACTCAGCAGGGTAGACTTCTACCACTTGCCCACTTGCCTCACCACTTGACCACTTGCCTCTGCTTAAATGTGGGCAACTCCAAAAGGCCACTACTGGGACTTTCCAGAAGGCCGTAGACTTGGCCTTTCGTGACTGTAGCAGCTACGATTCTGACCCTTCTGGACTGTAGCAGCTACGACCTTGACCTTTCAAGAAAACTACAGCTACGATGTCTAGACCTGACTAAGACTCCTATCCTTCAGGGCTACAGATCGAACCCATGCTACCTATGGACCCTACGACAACCTATCAGCTATTACAAATACACAGGTCACGGGTTCAATTCTACGGGTCAACACAGGTACTGTACACAGGTAAGGTTGGGGTCTAGGGATCGAACCCTGGGATCTGCAGCAGCTACTGCTAACTGGTGAATACCGTTTCACTCCCGCSGTCCTAMATTCGAGGTCCTCCGAGAATAATTCAGTCCAAGGCAGGACCTTTACCTTTCTGTTCTCTCTCGTAGGCTCTAACTATATCGGGAGCTGTCTCTAGAAGTTCTGATCTCGTAAACCATCGGTCATCCTCCGGTTCCTGATATGCAAAAAGGGCCTTATATTGTTTCTGTGGACGACCTCTACCTCCTGTTCTAAACACATCCTCATCTACAATGCCTCCTATATCATAGCTCCAATCCATTTCCGGAGGGATCATGGATCTTCTAGAAGGGAACTGTTGGCTTGTAACACATGGCAACAGCTTTGAAGCATGGAACACAGGATATGTGTGGAGGTGTACTGGGATCTCTATAGTGTATGATGGTCCATCCTCTCCGCCCTTGACTTCTAGAACCGGCCATGGTCCTCTATATGCAGGCAGTAACTCCTGCGAGATGTTTTCTTCAGGCGCGATTTCCTTTGCCTTGACCCAGACTAAGTCGCCTACCTGAAACAGTGATGGGCGACGGTGCTTATTAGCCTGCTCTATCATCTTATGCTGGGCCTTTCTGAGGTTCTCAACAACAGTTGCTAGTTCTCTCTCGTGCTGTACCCTAAATTCCCTGGTTCTGGGCGGTAGTCTGTGAATCTGATCCCGGTTCAGTCCTTCGAACGTTCTGCGTGGTCTAAAGGACTTATGCAATTCGTTGGGAGTTCGGCAGGTGGACAGATGCATGCTGTTGTTCTATGCACTAGCTACCTTAGGCAACATCTCATCCCAGTTGATCTGATCTGGTCTAATGTACATGCGCAGAACTTGCTGTAGGATCTTGTTCATCTGTTCTGTCTGACCGTTTGTCTCTGGATGTCGGCCAGATGACATCAACAACTTAGATCCGTACACTCGCATGAGTTTTTGCCAGTTCTGGCTGGTGAATCGACTATCTCTATTGCTAACTATTGACAATGGGATTCCATTCTCGCTAACCCAAAAGTCGAAGAACTTTTGTATCACTAAGTCTGTACGTGCCTCTGAGGGCAAAGGAACAAAAACTGCGTATTTACTAAAGCGGTCAACTACGACCATGACTTGGCTCTTACCATGTCTGCTCTTGACTTGGGTGTCCATGAAGTCTATGGACAGTGAGTCTCCCGGCTGGTCCGGAATAGGCAATGGTCTGAGAAGACCAAGGGGTGCGCGTGTAGTAGTCTTGTTACACTGGCATACTTACAACTGCGGACATGCTCTATGCAGTCATTCTTCATTCTTGGCCAGGTATACGCGCGCATTAGATTGGCTAATGTCTTTTGCCAACCGAAATGTCCCTCAGTATCGTGGCATTCCCCTAAGATTAGACTGCGGATCGCCTCGCTGTTGAAAACGCACAGGGGGTCAAACACATTAGTCTTCTCAAACAACAACCCATTTGTAGTGCGGTAATCTGGTTCAGTCTCTGGGGCCTCTCTAACTCTCTTTAGGAGGTCGCTATAGATAGGGTCCTGTGCATACGCTTGCTTCACCTTCTCTTGCAGGTCTCTCCCTATATCCAGATAGTGTACTATGGCTCCAAAGTAGTCTGATCTCCTACTCAGAGCATCCGCAACTACGTTGTACTTGCCCTTCACTGGCTTGAGCTCAAAGTCGAATTGGTCTATCTTTGTGGCCCACCTAGTCAACTTAGGTGTCATCTTGGCCTGAGTCTTTAACCATCTAAGCGTTTTATGGTCCGAATACACTTTGAAGTGCCTCCCAAGCAGGTAGTGCTTCCAATGGTCTAAAGTCTGTCGGAGAGCGTAGAGTTCGCTCTCGTACGTGGAGGTAGCGACCTTCTCACAGGGCATCCTCGCTGACATGAACTCTACGGGTCTATAGACATTGTCGTCATCTTGCTGCAACACGGCGCCTATCCCATACTGACTCGCGTCTGTGGTGACGACAAATGGCAAAGACAGATCTGCAACTTTGAGGACAGGATACTCTATTAACACGCGCTTTAACTTCTTGAGCGCAGACGTACAGTCTTTGTCCCATTGTCAGATTGCCTCTTTCTTCAGCAACCTGCGCAAGGGAGCGGCGATAGTGGAGAAGTTCCTTACGAACTTCCTGTAGTAGTTAGCTAGGCCTAAGAACGACCGCAACTCTGTCAATGTGCGGGGCGTCGGCCAATCTCTAATCGCCACTATCTTACTGTCCTCTGGCTTAATGCCATTTCCGTTTTATAGGTGGCCCAACTACAAGACTTGTGTCTTGGCCCACTCGCACTTCTTCGCGTTGATCTTGAAGTTAGCCTCTCGAAGCTTCTCCAAGACCTGCCTGAGATGACCCTGATGTTCTTGGAGGGTCTTACTAAAAATCAAGATGTCATCTAAATAGACTACGACAAACCTATCCAACCAGGGTCTAAACAAATAATTCATGCAACGCTGAAATGTAGCTGGCACGTTGGTCAGTCCAAAGGGCATCACTATGAACTCATAATGCCCGTACCTAGTCCGGAACGCGGTCTTATACTGATCATTAGGATGAAACTCTATCTGATGATAACCGGACTTCAGGTTTATCTTTGTAAAATACTTACAACCCTGCACCCGATCTAAAAGATCGTCTATCCTGGGCAGCGGCTCAACATTCTTCACAGTAATCGCATTCAAACCCCTATAGTCTATACACATTCTCAGCCTCAACTTCTTCAGCGCCCTACGGCTGATGTAACTACGGGTAGCCCCTGAGTCTATGAGGGCCCCTACTCTACTTCTAAACACTTCTACGTCTGCCAAGATCAGCTGTCCTTTACTCTCTTTCTTCATCTTGGCCCAGGCTGGCATTCTCTCTTTTAACTCTTCTGCCACACCTGTGAGGGACGTGCCTAAAGAGACGCTAATACAGGCGGTCTCTAGACAGCTAGCTAGGCACGGGCCTGCAACCTCTGTCATAGGCTAATGTGGGTTGGGAGTGTTCTGTTCGCGCGCGCTCACTTCTCCACATGGGCAGTTGCAACCCCTACTGGCGGCTGCCTTTTGATTGTTGGGCAGCCCAACGGGCCTGTCTATACTTAAGACAATATTTAATAACGTGGGCCGGGTCACCATAAAAGACGCATTGACCCCTGTCCACGCGTTCCTGCCATAATCGCTAGTCCAAGCCCAAATCTTCCCAAGGTCTTCCCTGTGGCAAGCCTGGGTGCCATCCTCCTTGAGGTGCCCTTCCACCTCTACGATGTGGGGACCGATTACCCTGGCGATTTGGCGGGGCACCTTGACCCCTACCTCCCACGTGGCGGTTTCCTTGGCCGCCAACCCCCTGTGCGCCCGGTCCTCGGCCTCCCATGGCCTGGCCCCTTTGGCCCTGGCCTCCTCCTTTACCTTGCGGCCTCCCTCCGGCCGCGACAACAGCGTAAGACCTCCCCTGCCCTACACTACTGTCCTCCTCCCCTAGGGCCCACTCAAACTGATCATACGGGACCTCGTCTGTACCACCTTTCTCTAACGTCAGGATCAAGTGATCCTTGGCCTTGACTTGTCCTGAGATGGTACGATCCTTCCACTTCTTCCCTTTCTCTAAGTCCTTATGCCAGAAAGTGGTGATTGGCATAGACTTTGACTCATACAGGACCACCTCCCTACTCAACACATCATATGTGATCCTGGCCTGTTAAGACTTGTTAAAGAAGTGCCCACATAGGGCCTCTGGCATGGCACAATAAAACAACTGGACTAACTGGGTTTCCTTGACCCCATGGTCCGGGACGGCTACCAAATCGTCCATAGTACCCTTGAGTGCCCTTGCACTCCTCCACTGTGGTGAGTGGATTGTCTGTAATTTGTCTGAGGCTCTGACGCCTCGCGTTGGGTCAGCAAACCGCTCCTTCAGGAGCTTAAGGAACTGAGAGAGGGGGGTGACTTTGGAGTAGGCGACCAGGTTGTTTTCGCAACCGGCCGCGCGCGCAAGGGATCTAGCGAAACTAGCCGCTTCGTCCTTCAGGGCCTGGAAGGCCACAAGGACTTGCTCCTCTATCAAGATGTGTTGTAGGTAAATACAACTGCTGACACTGCCTTCCGAGTTGTCAAAGTTCTCCTCCTTCTTCCCTCCATAAGCATCTGGGAACTTGAGCTTTACTGGGTCCTTGCAAGGTCTGGCCTCGCCCTTTACCGCGGCTATGGCTTTCGCGCCCTCGATGGCGCCCTCACAAAACTTGCCTACGTAATCTCTCAACTGCTTTACTTTTCCCCCAATATGGGTGACGACCTCGCGCGCAAACTCCCTAAATCTTGACCGCATCACACTCAAGGCTACATCCTGGCTCCAACTTGTCTGACGCTCCTCCATCCAGGCCTTGCTCAATACCTCTAGGTAGCCCAGTACCTTATCCCACTTGGTCTTTTCATCTGGCCGCGCCAACACCTCCGCTCTACACTCTTGCACCTTTGCCACTGTTGCGGTCATCTTATTCACTTCTTCTCTCCTCCTCCTCTTCTCCCTCTTCATTCTCAACTTCCATTGCAACTTTTGCTCATCTTCCCTCTCTGTTCGTTCCATAGGATCCGTCATGGCTGCTAGCTCAGCGGCCAATGCGGCCTTCTCATCTTCAGTCACATATGACTCCGCCTCTTCATCTTCTCCCAACGATAAGTTAGCAACCCACTCGCTGATCTTTTTCTCAATCTCAGCGTCTGTGTCCTTCTTCGTGCCACTACTCCCCTCTCTGCTCTCAATCCTCATTCTTTCTTTTTCTTCCTTTGCGGCCACTTCTTCTTCAGCAGCCTTCTCCTTTTTCTTCATCTCCTCCTCCACTTCCTTCATCTTCGTCGCCCGCTCGTCTGCGATAGCCTTTAGCTTCGCTTGCTTCTCACGTTATTTCCTCTCCCTATTCTCTTTGACTAAGGCGGCCATCTTTTCTTGCTTCTCCTTGCTATAGGGGTTCGTGTCTAACCCACTACGGGTCTCAACCATGGTGACAAGTGTACAACCGGGTTAGTGGTTCCACAGCTCACCACGTAGACTTCTGACCCCTGACTGACAAACCTATAGACTCAATCTAAGAACTCACAGAGTCTTGACAAGGACCCTGTCAACTATGGTGTCTAGCCTAGACCTATGCTATGGCTGTCACTACTGAACCAGTGGCTGATCTGGAGGCATTTAAGGAGATCCCCTGTAACTCCGCAAGAATTCTTTAATGTCGCAGACAGGACGACGTGATCAGCTTGGTTCTGCCTGTGCTTTCAGCCCACAACTCAGCCTTTCTGGCCTACTGTGCCACACCAAGCAGCCTGCCGGTCTGTATCGGTTCTTGGGAGGGTTCGTATCCCCCGGGACAGTCGAGTCATCAGACACATATCCTCAGCCTTACTTGGTCCGGTAGGGGACTGGTTCAAACAGGCCCTCAACACTTAAAGATTGCCTGTGTTTCAGCCCGCAACTTAGTTTTTCAGGCCCACTGTGCCCTACCAACCGTTTCTAGCCGGTCAGCACCGGTCCTTGGGAGGGTTATGCCCCCCTGGAAAGTTGGATCAGCCACAGTCTCACCCCTACTAGCACCGAGAGGGGAGTGGTCAGCAAGCTCTATCCTTCATCCACAGAGTACTATCACCTAGGACCAAAGAGACTCAATGGAGAAAGATAGACAGACTGACTTGACTCAGCAAGTACCAAGGGGTGTGTGCACATCCACAGGGCAAGGGATAGGCTGAGGGCTTGGCGAGATGTTACCAACTTCAGCTTGGTCAAAGTCCTGGTCAACGCCTTGGTCAACGCCTTGGTCAACGGCCTTGGTGAACGGCCTTGGTCAACGCCGGTAAATGCTGCTATGACCCCCGGTCAACTCTGGAAGTCGTTGGTCAACACCTCCGGTCAACCCTCTTGGTCAACCCTCCRGTCAGCTATGGCTGCCGGCTCATCTTCATCGCCAACCCTCTTCTTCTTCTTCACCTTCCTCGCCTCCTTTCACCCCGCTGTCTTCTTCTTCTTTTTCTTTTTTTTCCTTTTTTGTTTTTGATCGGCCTCCTCTTCACCTCTTGGCTATGGCCGCTCCTTCTCCTTCCTCGGTCTCTCCCCCTCTGTCCTTCTCCCTCCTTACTTCATCACTCCGTGCTACAAGCTTCGCGGCTATGGCCGCTGTCTTCTCCTTCGTGGACTGTGCAACAACTTCACAGGTACGTAACAACCAATCTCTCTCTCTCTCTCTCTCTCTCTCTCTCGCCTAAGCGGTGTCTTCAGCGCAACAGGTACGTGTAACCCAATCTTGTATCGCTCCTCTCTCTCTCTCTCTCTCTCTCTCTCTCTCTCTCTCTCTCTCTCTCTCTTC